AATAATAAGCAAAAGATCGAGCCACAACCACAATCGATGAAACAAACATACAAACAAACAAAAAAAACAAACAAACAAATAAACAAACAAACATACAAACAGATAGACAAACAAACAAGCAAACATACAAACAAACACACAAAATGGAAAAAACAGTTTATCATCATTGCTATCGCACCTGGATCATTTACCCCAGTGTTTCCCGACGTGAAGTGTCCGCGGGCTAGTTCGTTTTCAGGGGGCAACAGGGCTTTACGGGTTAGAGTCAAAGTAGAAATAGTTTCTCAAAAACAATTTGTGATAACAGGAAAAAACTGTTTAAAATCATAAAATATAATAAAGTAATGAAAAATAGATGATTGATTGAACAAGTGAAAAGAAGATGATCAACATTGTTTTTGGAATGACGGGCTTCCGGAGGGCGAGGCAATAAGTATCGGGCGACAACGCAGCTTTACAGTCAAAAAATACAAAAAAGTAATGTATCTATAATATGCATGTAAACCAACTGGCAATCCATATAAACTTACAAGTTGTTTAGGTTCAAATGATCCACACTCACGTATTAAAAATTCATAAATTGAGATCAACAACATGTAATAAATACTAGAAATATAAACAGACCTTGAAAATTGAGGAAAAAAAATGTACTAAGATACGCATTCTGGCAAAATCAGACAGACACATATGCAAACGGATAGACAAACAGACAGACAGGCCAACAAACAGATCAGCAGAAAAAGAGAGAGAGAAAGAGAGAGAAGGGGAAAAAAAGAATTAAAAAATTGTCGTAAATAAAGAGATCATGCTATCTTCCTGGACATGACAACTACAAACAAATGTAAACATGCCTGCACGCATTTGAACCAGCAATGTACAAGCTACATACATACATACATACATACATACATACATACATACATACATACATACATACATACATACATACATACATACATACAAACATACATACATACATACATACATACATACATACATACATACATACATACATACATACATACATACATACATACATACATACATACATACATACATACATACATACATACATACATACATACATACATACATACATACATACATACATACATACATACATACATACATACATACATACATACATACATACATACATACACATATATTAAAATAATCGTTTACCCCTTACACGTTTACCTCTGAATGTCTGAAAAATTTATAAAAAGGTGACTTTAGACTTGAAAAGTTTCGAGAAATTTAGTTGTAGCAATTAACATTAATGTTTCAAATCAGGACACAAAAACGAACTTACAAAACTTTCGGTTACGAAAAAAATTTGAGATTAACTTTACTGTTGTTGTGTAAAAGATAATTGCCTGAATCACACAGCGAAGGAAGTTCCGAGCTAATTTTCCCCGACACCTTTTTGTTAGTTTATGCAAATTTCGTCACGTCCGTAAAAATAAATTGGATTTAGGCTTCTGAAGAAATGTGTTGGCCAGTGGGTGGGTTTTTCAATATGCGTGAGGTGATGGAATCTGAATTAATTAGACAGAAATGAACTTGATATCAGTAGAAAAAAATTCTGAGAATATTCTCACATAATAAGAAACAAAATAATTTCAGTTTCGTTTACAGAAAATCTTTCCATTGCAAAAAAACATCCTGCAAAGTTGTCTCAATCCAAGAAAACAAAGACAAATTTTTTACCGAGTAGAGTAGAGGTAATAATTCAGAAAGGCAGCACACCGAATGACCTCATTAATATTCATAAAGTCACGTGATCCAATTCAAGCAATCATCTAGTGTGTTTCATACATATTGTAAAATAAATTTGTATTTAAACTTCTACATGTGTAGCTATTTATTTTAAATTAATGCAACATTTTTTAACCAAACTTGTGTTCTAAAAAGTTACATTTGTAACGACAAAAACAGCTAAAAAAATTCAACAAAGTATTTCATCATACAAACTCAAAAAATGCAAATACTACGAAGGAAAATTATTACAGGCTTGAATAAATTTTTAAATTAAAAAAAAATAATTGAGACATTCCATTCATAGGTTATTTAAAAGGTACGTTGAGAATGTAAGGTAGGTTTCACCGATGTACATATTTTTTTGTCGGCAAACTTTATAAACACATTAACTTTATAAACATATAGTACTATATGTTGTATGCCATGCGTCGTTAAATTGGTTAATTATGAATAGTTTTGTACGGATAAGTTAGTTGGTTGGCGAGTGAGTTGTTTCAGTTCGTGAACTAGAAAAGGTTGAAAGAAATCATAATAATCTATCTGTGTGATTGGTGACTTGATGGAAAAGAATAGAAGATGAATGACAAGAAAGGTTATATTTTCGTTGTTTCAATTTCATAAACTTTATAACTCCTGCTATTTCTTTTCGCTAGAGAAAGCTATTTAATACAACCGAGCTTTATAACTCGATAAAATATAACGTATTAGCCTAGTGGTGAACGTTATTATGATATTTATAATTGTATAATTATAATACATATATGTGGATAAAACAAAAAGTATATATCACATATAAACAACAATCAAACAAACATTTTATCAAGTTTTAATTCACCAAATTTAATTTACTATAAATTAATTTTTTATTAAGCTAAGGAAAGAGACAAAAGTAAGTGTAATAATATCTATAAACGCCTGTTTATCTACCATGCTTGCTGTTACAGACAGAAAGCAGTTTCGTCCTAAATAACATTGACGTAAATAATTAAATATAGAGTCATTCGCTAGGTGGTTATAAAATTGTCACCTCGATTTATCGAGAAGTAATCTTATATGTGATTGCGTTCAAGGTGAGTTATTCAGGCGGGTGAAGAAACTGTTCTAGAGCCGGTTGGATGTAGGTGACAAAATAAAGTTGCATTAATTTAATAATTTAGTTTTTAGTAAATTAGAAAGTTTTAGGTTTGTTTTCCAATGTTTTTCAAGAAATGTCGCCAATGTTAGTGCTAATTCCGTATGAGACTGTTATCTATTTATTGTCAGTATCTGTTAGATGCAGTATCTTACTCTAACTGCAAATACCACGCAAGATTTCAACAAGCGTATGCGTCACTGCGGAAGAATTTTTGTAAACAATTAGGAGACATTAGAAATATGCAATGATTTTTTTCTATTACTTTATTTTATTATTATATTGACAAACTTTTTTATATTTAGTGTGTTCGAAATTGAGTTTAAGCATGATGATCAATAAATGAAACTTTTTTTCATATTGACAATTTTGAAATTTATCTCAGAGGGCCACATGAAACGGCTTAGCGGGCCGGGTTGCGAACCGCGGGTAGCCAGTTACATACTCCTGGATTAGAGTAATCACGTTTTAACAGATCTTTACAATATCTCTTTACAAGATTGACCTGTTCCAATAACAGATCAAAATTCATTAGTAACTAACGAACGTTATACTTAAATAAACAATTAAAAATAAATTTGAAAAAATAAAAAGCCGATTAGATATTTATAATTAAAATAAAGCTGTTGATATAATTGAAAAACTAAGCAAAAATTAAAAATCATTCGCTATTTTTAATGCAAATGCCGCCTCATTAATCTATATGGAAATGTTTAAATGTATAATTGAATTTACACGGAGATTCGCTGATAATAAATTTGAACATATTTTTGAGCCTAGGGCAGGCAAAGGTATTTTAACAATGTTAATTGGTGTGCATGAGTAATAGTATTATTATAATTATTATTATTATTATCATTATAATTATTAATATTATCTGATTATTTGTATAGTGATTTTTATGAAGTATGCACACATTTATATATTAAGATGGTTGTAGAGGTACGTATGATGTGCGTATGATATGCTTATATCTATCCATCTATCTATCTATATATATATATATATATATATATATATATATATATATATATATACAAAGAGTATTCGTTTGAATGTACACGAACGTACACTGAGAAATATTGATCGAGAGTTGGTCGGTAACAACAAACAACAACACCACGACCATTCTTCGTACACACGTTTCTTCTTCTTCCCGCTGATGTGGTGGAGTATGTCACTCGTGTGCGCGTGTGTGCGTGTGCGTGCGTGTGTGTGTGCGTATTCATTTGCGTGGATGCGTGTGTTTTTTGTGTAAACGCCCGCAACATCCCCACTTTTCCTTTATAAGTGCGAATAAAAATGTGTTGTTTTATGTAGGAGTGTGTGGTTGCGTGCTAATGTGTCGTTATGTGGTTTTGTTTGTCGGTGCTTCCAGTTTGTGTGCGATTATATATATTTTTTCATTTATTAGAATAACTCCAATTTCTGAGAACATGTACTTGTAATGTATTCTGGGCAAAATTTTATTATCTTATCTTTCTACTTTTTTTATTTAATAAGTTTTATATAGCAAAATAAATAGTGTGGGTGGCAAGATGGCTCAATGGTTAAAGGCGCCTGGTCTTGCCATTGCTATGACTGGGTTCGAATACAAAGAGATCCCGCCTATCATATGCAATGTGTATGATGCGTGGTTTGCACGCGTATTCATATACGCTGTGTGTGTTTGTCGTTGAAATCTCTGAAGGAAACGCAAAAAGAGAGAGAGAAACCTTTAACCTTTTAAATAAAACTCAATCCAATTTACGCTGAAGTAAAACTTCATCAATTCACACAGACAATAAACATTAACGCACAAACGACGTCCAGCCCACACACACGCCTAAAGATTCAGGTAAACTAAGCCACAAACATACACACACACACGCATTTTTATCTCGCACTGTACAAAGGTCAAACTCTGACAAACGCATCTGTGCCTCCAATCACAGATATTAACAAAAGATTCAGTAGCAGTAGTGCATGATTTATATGTTATCTGTCTAACGAACACAGATAAACACACTTACACACACACTTACACACACACACACACATAAACACTCGCAAGAACACTTACACAAACAAACTCACACACACGCACACACACGCACACATACAGATCCTCACAAAAGACTCAGTGACGGTAGCAGTCGATGCAGTGGTCTACTACCGCATCTCGAACCCCATGATTTCGGTGGTCAACGTAGAAAATGCCGCCAGATCCACGCAACTTCTCGCCCAGACCACCCTCAGAAACATCCTGGGCACCAAAACTCTGAGTGAGATACTGACTGATAGAGAGTCAATAAGTACCATGATGCAGGTAAAGTGTGATGTATGTGTCGTGAATATTAATTAGGTGTCTACTTTGGCTACTGAATATTAATTAGGTATCTATGTTGGCTACTACTACTACTGAATATTAATTAGGTATCTACGTTGGCTACTACTGAATATTAATTAGGTATCTACGTTGGCTACTACAGAATATTAAATAGGTATATTATGAGTAATTTAACTTTTGATTATTAGTTAGACATTTTTTTAAATAATTACAATGGTGTCCGACTTGGATACTGCAGGGCAGTGACCGGGTTCGACTGCAAGGAATTCTTGCTTATGACACGCTATGTATGCATGCAGTTCACGTTCTTCATTGACGAACATGAAAAATCTTAGAGGGAATTGTGAAAAAAAGTGCATGAGATGGTGTGAATTGAATTAATTGACATCGTAGCAAAACACCCTTCAATTTTTACATTTCGAATGATTCAAAGTAAGAGAAAGCAAATCCGAAGTTGAAAATAACAACCGTTAATACGAATAAAAAAAAATTCAAAGTCATATTTTTGTGGTCGTTTAATTAATTTATAACTTCGACTCTTAAATTTCATTCGAGGTGCATTTTTACGAGTGAAGTTTTTATAAATTATTAAAGAATTCAACGAACATCAGTTTCTAAAGAGAGTGCATTCAAAATTTTTTTCCAATTTTTTTGCACTGTCAAAATTTCCACTGAGAACCCGTTTGGAAGCATTCATTAAAAAAAACATTTGCTTCTGCTTGAAAAAGTTTCAGAAAAAATTTAATAAAAATGTAAATCGACTCTAAAACTAAGAACAAGTCTATTAATAATGCCAAAAAATTCAATTAGGAATAAAAAAAATAACTGAATAATTTATCAGCGTTCTTATTTTATAGTGTTGGGCAGAAGAAATGTAGGCTGTGACTGTCTGACATCTGAGAGGCTTTGTGACAAGCAAATTTAAGTATTTCAGTATTCAATTCGACTGCACCTTGTATCATCAAACAAGTTGTTTATTCAATGAATCCGTGCTGACAGAGGCGTGTGACTTCGGATTGAGAGTCATCCAGACGGTCTATGCTTTTATTCTCAAATTTTTTTACACATCAAGTTTGTCAGTAGTGGTATTAGATCATACAAGAAAATTATTGTAAGCACATGGACGAAGTTTCTAAAAATATTGTGGTTTGTTTGAAAGTTTTTTAAAAGCGTTGCAACGAAATGACGATGTTGCGGATGACAACTGTGGAATGAAATAATTTTAGAACCACGTCTGCTGGAAGCTTTTTCAATCTATATTTTTTCATTTCGAATGTTTTGTTTCGTTGATTAGAAATGATATTTTGGAAAAATTACATTCTGATAGTTTTTTGGGCCGTATAAAAAAGACAGTTTGAACGTAATAAAACTTTAGTGCCCAACAAATCGGTTTATTAAATGGAGTTTGTTTTGGTGAAAGTTATAAAAGCATTGAGCGACTTTATTGGATTTATTGAAGAATGTCTGAAAAGCTGTCTTTGATTTTAAGTTTGGATTTAAAAAAACGTAAAAGTACAATTTTACAATTTTTAACGACTCATTTTAAATTTTTTAAAGTTTTTTTTATACAATTTTCTTCTTGAGCCAAAATTTTTTGAAATTTGTTAAATTTAGATGTTGTGCGTGTTGAAAAGTAACAATTGAATAAATACTCCATTATAAAATTATATAAACATCAATGATCAATAATTAAATTAATTGATTAATTGATTAATTGAAAATTGATCGGTAGTATCTATTACAATCTCATTAATTTGTAATCTAGCAAAAACTCCTATGACAAACGAATAATATATGTAAATGATTTACCAACATCACCCACCCAACGCAGCATGTTCTTGACGACGGTACAGACCCATGGGGTGTGCAGGTTGAAAGGGTTGAAATGTGAGTTTCTTTTTTTAACTTAGTACAATTGTTAACTCATGAATATTAATCATGAACATTAATTAGGTATCTCACGAATAGTTAATTAGACAATAAATTAGTTATTTCATTGTAAGTTTCTATTTTAAATTTAGTAACATTGTTAGCTCATGAATATTAATTAGGTATTAGCCAGTTAATTATTTATTTAGTTGTTAATGAGTGGTTAGCTCGTGTATGTTAATTAAGTATCTTGTTTATCTTATGAATAACATCTAGTTAGCTTATGAATACTAATTAGGTACCTTTTCAATGTCTCTATTATCATGAATTTAGAATCTTGCGTTGATAAGTGTCTTTGTTAGTTCGTGAATATTAATTTTGTATCTCATCAATATCTCTATGAGGTACCAGTAATTTGGAATCTTGCTTTAATTTAATTACTTCACCAAATTATGTCTGGTTCGCATTTTGCATTTCTTTGTATTTATGCGGGCACCGTGCCAGGAATAGCTGATGTATGTGTGTGTGTGTGCGTGCGTGTGTGTGGATGCGTTTGTGTGTGTGTTAGTGTGTGTGTGTTGCTTACGTATTTATTTATGTTGAATCTTCTGAACTTTGGAAGAATGTATTTGACCTTTAACCTTTTTTATGCTACAAAAGTGAAACTTTTGAGGTTACGGCGAACACGATGAAAGCAGCAGTATGGATGACCTTTAACCTTTTTTACCTCTCATCAAGCATTCATTAATCAATAAAAATTTGAAATATGGAAATCCCTGAAAAAACTCCCCACCTCTGCAAACCCAAAGTCGATCATAAATATGTGAATGTTTTTGGGATTCTAATGCAATGTGATTCGTGTACTTTCTCGATGTACGTTGTACGTATGCTTGTAAGGAGATTGTAAATTTATTAAAAATCTGCTAGCATCAAAAGTCAGGCACGGATGACATAGATTTCACTCTCGCTCTCTCCCCCCCCCCCCTCTCTCTCTTTCTCTCCCTTTCTGTTTCTCTACTTTGTTCATTTTATTATTTATTTAATTTTTATATTCAATATTTATTTAATTATTTATTTAATTATTTATTTATAATATTTGCACGCACGGCAGCAAGGACGTAAGACTACCAGTCCAACTTCAAAGAGCCATGGCCACTGAAGCTGAAGCTCAAAGAGAGGCCCGGGCAAAGGTCAGCCGTCTTTTTTTATTCATTTATTCATTCATTCATTTTATTCATTTATTTATTCATTCGTTCGTTCATTTATATATTTATTCATTCGTTCGTTCGTTCGTTCGTTCGTTTGTTCGTTTGTTCGTTCATTCGTTCATTCATTCATTCATTCATTCATTCATTCATTCATTCACTCTCCCATTGATTCATTTGTCTGTACGCTCATTTATTCACTCCACCCATCCACCTATCCGTTCGTCAATTCGTCTGTTTGTTCGTACATTCGTTTTCCCATCCATCCATCCATCCATCCATCCATCCATCCATCCATCCATCCATCCATCCATCCATCCATCCATCCATCCATCCATCCATCCATCCATCCATCCATCCATCCATCGCAAATACTTGGAACTCATTATCAAATGAACTTGTTGAGGTGCAATCATTGAACAAATTTAAAGCAGGCATCGATTGTTGGATGAACAATCAACAAATCAGCTGTGCTAGCATGCCTGACATCATGCTCTCTGGATAACCTCCAGAACAGCATTACTGCTACTATTACTACTATAAATTTGTTAAAAAATTCATGAACTGAGTGTTGATTAAAAAAATTATTGCGAGTAGTCGAAAAAATTTAAAAGAAGCGAACAAATCTTAAAACTTAGGCAAACACCCCTGCTACGGTTTTTTCCATTGTTTTTGCATTGGAGACAGAGAAGCTTAAACTCCTTGATGATTACGTTGATTTTGTAACCTTTCAACGTATATACCAAAATTTGATGTCATTTTATCATCCATAAACCAAACAATCTGTTATTAAGTTTGATTTAAAACTTAATCCCCTATACAATAATTATGTCTAGATTATCTGAATTTAAAAAAAAACATTAAATGCGGCATTTTTGTGTCATTCAGTTATGCAGAGTTGAAAAGGTTAGAAACAGTTAGTCAACATCTTCTAATACAAAATAAATCATCATTGAGTTGAGATAACGAAAACTAAAAAACACATTAATGTATATCTGCTGACAACGTACAAATCAACAGCCAAACAATTCTGTATTAAAATATGCAAAGTATCCGATATCTGATTTGAAACCATTACGCCATGTTATTAGAAGCGCATTTCCATTTCACCAGGTGGTATTAATTCGAATTTGTAGCTAAAAATAAGGCGAACCGTCACTTTTTTCCTACAGAAAGGGCAAGTTTGAATTTCTCGGATCCAATTTTCCAGGCACTCGGGATCAAAAATATGCTCGCAGGATAGTTTGAGGACAAAGGATTCCTCTTCAAACTCATCCCAGCAGATCGGGATGGTGTCATTTACAATGAAATTGGAAAAATAATCCCGGAAGTACTGAAATTTGTAGACTCCCTCAGTTCTGTATTCGCTAGGGCAATAATTCGCGTGGTTGACTTCTGCGCTGAAATGAAGGCCATGGAGATGGTAACTGTTAGACCAGATTAAATCTTTTTCACTATACTTTTTCATATGTAATTATGCTGAAATTCTTGCCTAAAGTGTAAAAATTCGCATCTCTCTTTGCTCGTAGATGATCTGCTCGGCTGTATGCGATTCAATTCTGACAGACGATCACTGTCCGATGCCAGGATGCTCGCAAAACGTTCCACATCTTCTTCAGAGAAGTTCAACAGTTCTAAATTTTCATTCAAAAACAGCCTGTACGCTTCTGCATAGATTTTTCTATGATTTTTTTCGAACTTTTCACTTTTTCAAACAAACATATACAGCTTGAAAGTTGTAAATTCCTGGACTCTGTGTTAAGTAAAGCACAAAGCTCTGTGTCGATTAAATTTGGTGGACAAGGAAGGCTATGCTCGTTTTGTTGGGCAGTTGCAAACATCAGTGGATGAATGAGCCGTCAGTTTTTTTGTAAAATTAACTTTACAACAGTTTAATTCTTTTGCAGTTTAAACAAAGTATTTTACTTTATGAGTTACTATCCATTCGCGAATACATTTAATTTTGACGCTTTTTTCAATCGGCTTTTGCTCGTAACGAATTTTTATCTCATCAGTAGATTTATTCCAGAGAATTACAATCAGGATTCACTTCAAAGTTTCAAACAACACATGCCGTAATACTTAATATTTAAGATTTAAAATAAGTTTCACATTAGTAAAGTTTGAAAACTTTTCCAACATACACGTTGGATTGCGTGGAGAGATGGAGACGTCTTTGAACGCACTTTCCATTTTTACGAGTTTTAATAAAATTATACTCCAATTAGACACTTTGATGCAATGAAGATAAAAGTTGTTAACTCAATTGTCCAATTAATTAATCATTTTATTTGTATATTACTCATAAAATCATTCACATTAGTTTTAAATTGTAATTTTAAAAGAAACAATTTCATAGCGTTAAAATAAAAACAGGAAATTATTTATTCGTTAAATAGGTGCTGTTATGGAAATTTCTAATTTTTTTCTTCTTCAGCTCAACGCTGAACAGGGTCGTTTATAACTCAAACCGCACTCAGATCGGTGGAGCAAGCATTCCCTTTGGTCAATTTTTGTTGATTTAAATTTAAAATATTATGGGAGAAATATGATGTTTTCATTCATATGTTTTGTCAAGATTTTGGTTACCAAACCATGAGGATGTTATTATAAAAATAAACAAACTCATAATATATTTATGTGTAAAAGATCACCAGAGCTGGAATCAAAATGTTATATCACGACCCTTCCTCATGGTTCTTCAACGTCTTTTTTTAAAAGGAGACTTTTAACCACGGATACCATCGAAAAGATGGTCCGTCTTTCATGTATTTTTCTTTCTCTAAGATTACTTTACCGGCATTAGCTTTTATGCCTCCAGAAATGACAAAAGCCCTTTCTCCAGTGATTTTTTTGATGTTTTCATTCGGATGTTGCGATTGAATTTTGATTACCAAACCATTTTCATGCTCAGAAGATTTAAATACTACGTGAATCTAGTAAAAATTTCCAGCTAGGTTCACTATACCAGCGCCACTTTCCAAAAAATATTTGAAATGTAGAAAGAATGAATATTTCTGTATAAAGACTTAGTTTTACAGACTTTAACAGCATTGCTCGTAAAAGGAGGCCATGGTCCACCCGGCTTTTTAGATTCTCCACTGCATCTATGTCATTTTAATATATCACTTAACAGTTTCGGCACTGGACAAAATATGTTCATTTTAAATTACTTCAAATTTGGTGATTAAGAAAATCAATCTTACGCAGCCTTTTTCATGTTCCGCGTTAACTACCGAATGCATTTTTATGGAGAAAACATTATTTCCGGTTTCATGGAGTTAGCACCGTTTTTATAGTATCGGCATCGGTATTGCCGGCAATATTTCAATATCGGTTTTGGTACCGGCAACACATTTATAACCGGTATATATCAATCAATCTTCGTTTTGCGTCCAGAGACCCGGTCTCCCGAGGTAGGACGTTGTTTTCTTTGCATCAACTTTTTGCGCCAAATTAGACGATCAGTTGTATCCATTTCATTTAAATTTTTATTGGTATATATTGGTATAGATATTGGCGATACAATTTTTTAATGTTTAAAGTTAAAAACATTTAATTTTTTGTAAGTTTATAAGCATTATAAATTTATCTTTCTGACATTTTTTGATAATCATTTTACATTCGCTAGATCATCCTATTTAACACTTTATTTGCAGTTATTGAGCTAGTGTAACGCATAAGGCTATTATGCATTTTCTGACATTTTTTGATAATCATTTTACATTCGCTAGATCATCCTATTTAACACTTTATTTGCAGTTATTGAGCTTGTGTAACGCATAAGGCTATTATGCATTGAATTGTAATAAACGTTAAATTCTAAACAATTATTTAATAAATTTGTCTTTAATTGCTGCTTCAAAATTTTAAAAACAACTCAAATCCTTGTAAATCACCTCAAATGTTTGTAAAACATTAGGTACATATAAATATATCTAATGGAGCTAACCTGTTGCAAGAAAGGGTTAAACGTTGATTTTGGAGTCCGTCGTTCGGGCTGATAGCGTAAAATGAGTTTAAGAATTTTTCCAAGCTTAAGTGAAACTTTTGACAAAATCGTAAAAAAAAATAAAAAATTTTCCGTGTTTTCCTAAATCGCAAAACAAGAATAAAATTTTTCTTGTCTTAAGTGGAACTTTTGGTAGGAACTTTTGGCTACCTCCTTCTAAGTAATTTGTTTTTGGATATTTTTATTATTTTTTAAAATGCTATCCAGCAAAATGCTAAGCATTGCTGCAATTATGAAGCGATATCCGATCAATCTTTACTTCATTCCTGCCAATCATCATGGCGTCGTTGTTAATTTAATTTTCTGCCACACCGGCCTCGCTTCACGCGTCATGTGAACAATGACGTCAGCCAAACAACGGAAGTATTATTTAGGTTTAGGCTACATCGCTATTACTAACTATTACTGTAACTACTACTGCTGCTACTACCACTACTACTAATACTGGTCTTTATATTACAAAAGGACTCGAACTTGTGTCGAAATGGGACATATTTCAAAGTTTTTATTCAAGCGATAACATCAATTTTTATGTTTTTTATTCTTTTCTCGATAGAACGACCGATGAATGGAACCATGCAAAAGCTTTCATTGTAACCATTAAAAAAAATAACACTCATCGTACAACTCATTATAAGACAGGTCCACATTCTAATGCACACACACGCACACCACATACACACACACACCACACACACACACCACACACACATCACACTCATACACGCACACATACACCACACACACACACACACACACACACAACTAAATCATTTTTTGAGCAAACATACTCTACGAAGCAACCCAATTACAAGTCAAGAATAAGAACTAATTCTAATTCACCTCTTAGAAACAACCGCATGCGAGCAAACAATGTTGAATGTTAACTATAAAGTAAACCTAAACAAGAAAAACAAATTCAGCAAAAAAAAAACTCTCAACAAATACCAAAATTAAAACATTAAAAAACCCCCACCAGGTGATCGCAGCGGAGGGCGAGAAGAAGGCCTCCCACGCGCTGAAGGAAGCAGCTGACGTCATCAACCAATCAGCGAACGCCCTTCAACTTCGCTACCTTCAAACCTTGACTCAGATATCAGCCGAAAAGAACTCGACCATCATATTTCCGCTTCCGGTTGACCTACTCAACGCGTGCGTGGGCACGAAAAATGGTGGTGACGCAACGTCGGCCGCTGCAAGCGCTCCACCCGCCAACGACGACGATGACGATGATGAAGATGACGGTGCTGGCAATGATAACGCTGCTCTCAATGATAATAATAATAACAATCGTGATGACGATGATAATAATAATAATGACGACGATGATGGTGGCGACGACGATGTCGATCGGCGTATTTTGTCGGCGTCATCTTCGACGGTTTTCGAGCCGGTTGTACCGACCTACTTCTGAAGGACACGTGACTACTCTTCTTTATTTTTCTATGCGTATCAATATCACCTGCGCATGTTCGTTCATTCAGTCGTTCGTTCCAATAGACATTTTTTTTTTAAATTTATTAGTTATTTATTTCAATTCGGTTCTTTCATTAACTCGATTGTTCAATTGAGTAATCGCAATTTTATTTATTTATATAAAAACGAACGACTGTCTAGATTTTGTTTACATTTGAAACTTGCTTCCAGAAAAATGGTTGTACCATAAAATCACCAACACGTAGTATGTAAGTACTTTAGAATTCGGTTAATAGGAACACCTTGGGACTTTGCCGCTCTGGTCCAATTAACCGGTTTCTATCATAATAATAATAATTTCATTAGCATTCAATGTTAAAAAATGTACTCACATCATCATCATCATCATTTTCACCGTGAATTGTTGTTATTATAAATTCAATCATCATCATCACCGTTAAGAATATTATTACTAATTAATGTCCTAATTGTCGTTATTATTGTTGTTGTTATTATTATTATTATTATCATCATCATCATCATCATTTTAACCTTTTACGTAAAAATCTTCAAAGCAATAAAAAGCTAAACCAACGGAAAATATTAACGTTAAGAAGAGGCAAATGCTTTTACTCATATCATTAGTAACACCATCAAATAACACCACCACAGATATTATGAATACTATCAGAAATTTTCTCACAATCATCTACTTTTCTTACTACTACAAATTATTACTGGTTATTACCAGTATCGGAACTAAGGGGGGTGGGGCGGGAAAGACCATGGCCCCCGTTATTAGGCAGTGAAACTGTTTTTAGATATGAAAAAACAGCAAAAAATCAATCGCAAATTGGCGCGGTAACCCCAAAAAGGCTAATTTTGGTGTTAATTTCATGGCCCTCCGTCAAATTTTAATTTTTTTTTTAATTTTAGCCACCCTTTCAACGTTGTCTAGACCCGCCACTTGAGTTTGCAACATACATTTTCATCAAACTTTCAAAAAGACAAACTCGCGCGCAACAACAAACCATCAACCCAAATGGAAGTTTCGTCCCGAAAAAATGAACAATTTCATTACTAGACAACAACAAATGTTACACAAAAACCACAATTTCATCAACATTACCAACAGTTTTATAGCAAACAAAACGCTGAGTTTTATCCAGTTAGCCAATCATAAACAAATCCGCTTACAGTGGAATATTTAATTAACTAAAATTAAAATAATAAAATTAACATGAAATTAACATAAAATTTACATAAATTACAGAAATTACGTTACCAGTAACGACAAATGCACTTTCAATGAAATCCGAAACATTATCAATAATAACAAAAACAAAATTAGTAGTGACAGAAACATTATCAAGAACACTAAAAACAGTGAAAAAATTACAAGCGCCAACCATAACGACATCGATTAAAATACAAAACCCTTAACAATTACAAATATAAAGCCTTTAACAAGAATTGCCAAAACTTCAATAATCAAACCAAGTGGTATATTCCTAAAAGAAGACAATTTTTTTATCAGACAAAGGAAATCTAAGACATCAAGACACAAAGACATTAACCACATTTCACCACAGTAACAACAACGATACTAATTAGACAATCTCGAATGGGAGTGTCGAGCAAAACAAGTTTAAAAGCAAAGAAACACACGTAAGTGACATAGTACTATCCACATAATTTCAGTTTCTGCGTTTGTCAACTCTTGATTTTTAAAGAATAAAATAAAATAATAATAATAATTAAATTATAACCCACACATAAATGATAAGTTCACACTAATACAAAACATACCCACATCGGTCAGAGTACTACCCAAATACAGAATGAAAATAGTAACGCATTTGAAAGTTTACATTAATAAATACACAAGACTACTTACAAGTACCTAAATACAGAATAGTGAAGAACATAAAAAGACCCCATCAATACAAATATATATGCTGCTTAATTAAGAGAGAGACAGAGAGAGAGAAAGAGAGAGAGAAAGAGAGAAGGAGAGAGACAGAGAAAAAGAGAGAGTAAAAGAGATAATGAGGAAACGAAAGAAGAGATAAAGGATAAAAATGCGAAGCGGCAGCCTAGATATTCAGCGAAATAAAATCAACAACAACACATACACATACACACACACCCAAACAAACAAACACACACGCAACAGCACGAAAACACTTACACACACAGACACACACACACACACACACACACACAACAACATACACACAGGCATGCAACACGAACTTTCACACAACACACACACACATACGTCAAAAAAATGAGACAACAATACCGAGACGTCAAAATCAAAATTTCCTTCAATTGTTTTTAACTTCCTTATAATTAAAAACAAAAACACAAAAACTTGTTTTATATTCCGAATTGTGATTATTTTTAGGCCATAGTATGACTACGCATTTTCATCTAGATGTGTGCGGATGTTTGTGTGTATGTGTGATTATGTTTCTATGGTGTGCGAGTATGATTGTGTGTGTGTGTGCGTGCCTGTATGTCTGTGTGTATTTGGGCTTGTACGTGTGTATCTGTGCACATACACATAAATGCAATGATTAATTATTATTGATATTTTAATTTAATACTGTATAAGACTCTACCCCCAATATGCTCATTGTTTCGCTGGTGTGATGTATATCTATATATAATTTATATATATATATATATATATATAAATTTTGAGTTTTCCATAAACAAAACTCAAGAATATATATATATATATTATACTTATATGTATGCATAATGTGTATATATATATATATATATATATATATATATATATATATATATATATATATATTGGTAATAGACCATAATTTTTACAATATTCTATAAATTCTACCGAATGTTTGGCGTTACAATATTCTATAAATTCTACCGAATGTGTGGCGTCAAACATTCGGTAGAATTTATAGAATATTGTAAAAATATATATATATATATATATATATATATATATATATATATATATATATATATACA